TCTCTCTCTCTCTCTCTCTCTCTCTCTCTCTCTCTCTCTCTCTCTCTCTCTCTCTCTCTCTCTCTCTCTCTCTCTCTCTCTCTCTCTCTCTCTCTCTCTCTCTCTCTCTCTCTCTCTCTCTCTCTCTCTCTCTCTCTCTCTCTCTCTCTCTCTCTCTCTCTCTCTCTCTCTCTCTCTCTCTCTCTCTCTCTCTCTCTCTCTCTCTCTCTCTCTCTCTCTCTCTCTCTCTCTCTCTCTCTCTGTCTCTCTCTGTCTCTCGATATCTCTCCTTTTCATCAGGCTGCACCGTCACTATGGTTGCACAGTACATAGGTCGTCAGCACCGTTTCAGAGACGGGCGACAGACATAATAATGTAAAGCCGTTGGGCGCTCGGGAGGAAAAGCGTAGTGCAATCAATAGCATAACAAGCGCGCACAGACTATATACCCGTAACCACAGGGGGGTGGGTGTTCACAGAGAGCGCCGTAGCAAGCTGCTGAGATAAACAGCCAATACGAAACCCGACGAATGATATATACGCCGATTAATGAAGAAGTTCGCACCGGATATTGATGTATGACAGTTATAGTTAGAGCGGTTGTTATAGCAAGGCACGTTGTATAGCATCGGGTTCTGTGCCCTGTACTTAAGCTGTAAACGTGTAACTCGTGGGAATGATGCAGTCGCACTAACGATAAATATTTCATAAGAAATTATTCGAGGAGGATTCGATGCGTGAAATCAAGGCAACGGTTAACATGCGCTAGGATTGGGCCCCCGGAGGCGAAATTTTGTTTCCCACTTGAATTCCGAACCACAGCCAATCAGCGCACTGCATTCACTCGACTTCCTCGAAGCAACAATGTAAAATGAATACCCACTATCCCTAACCCTAACACTAACTATAATCCAACCATATAATTATATACGAAGTTATATACGAACCATATATTACAAAACACTATCTATGGTGGGTCCGGAACTCAAGTGGGAAAAAAAATTCGCCCCCCGGAGAGGGGGCACTCACCGCTGTGTGCTCGCCCCCCCCCCCTCTGCCGCAGAGACATTCATGAAAGCGGTTCTTCACTGTTTGCTTTGTTAGACAGATCGTTATACACTCTAACAGAACCTAAACCTCCTAAATGGAAATCACTGATGCAACTCATATGAAGAGCTTTAACGGTATAAACGGTAACAAACGGTTAATAAACAGTTCTAACCCTACGACATAAGATAGCTGTTCTGTTTCCTAACTTTATCGATCACTCGTAATCGTTAATGAAGGAATACCACCGGTTGCTGAGTGCACGGTCTATCACTTATTAATCACATCTATCACGGTCATATTACGTTAAATTAACAAATAATCCGCCAGCACTCGAGCGTGCGTCTCTGATGAGTGTTTTACGATTCTCCCCCGTGCCAGGTCCATCACGAGGTCGTACTACAGAAACTCTGTGGGAGCGCTCATCGTCTACGACATTACGAACAGGGATTCGTTCCTGCACGTGTCCGATTGGCTGCGTGAAGCTGGAGAGCACATGGAGCCGAGGAAGACCGTCTTCCTGCTCATCGGTCACAAAACAGACATGGAGAAAGAACGGCAGGTGAGCGAGAGAGCTCACTGCCCGTGATGTAGAACAAAGGCCTGATGAATTACCTACCAGATATACCTCGTGACGCGTGTCTTCTTACGCGTGCGTGCGTTGACTTGCGTGCGTGCATTGTGTGTGTGCGTACGTGCGCGTGTGTGTATGCCTGCGCGCGTTGTGTTCATATAATTTTTTGTGTGCCTACGTGCGCGTAGATGCCTGCATGAATGCATACGGGCGTGCCTTACACGTTAGGGAGTGTCTACTCAATTAGAAGTGCGCATTCACTAAATCTGGTTGAGATTGTTATTTTCATTTACAGGTGAGCGAGGACGAAGGTGCGAAGCTAGCGAAATTCTACGATGTTACCTTTTTCGAAACTTCTGCAAGAACTGGCGAGAATATCGAAGCAGTGTTTCAAGCAATTGCAACCAAGGTATGGAGTTGAGCCTAGACTTAAATCAATCCGCTACTAAGTGAACTTGCATAACACGTGTGATTTTTTTCATGCATTGTCTGTACAGGAACGACTTCTAAAGTTTTACCACAATATCCTGCAGTTTTAGAGATCTTGTAATACTTTCTATTTGAAAATAAACATCATCACCAAAGCCAAAGAATTCATTTCACCCGGCGAATAGAAACTCTAGGGATTGACTAAGCTTCATAAAACAATACAATCGCGGCGCGTATAGACTTGTAGTAGAGTGCAAACATAATAGTACCATTCTCCGCATTGCTGCGCCTTTGCTCATCGTTATTCTTCTCGTTTCAGATTTACACACTGCTTGAGAAGGGCGAGGTCGGTGTGGAGGAGGGGTGGGAGGGGATTAAATTCGGGTTTGGCCGGCCAATGCGACAATCGTCTTTCCAGCTACCCACCGCCGAACAAAATGAAACAGGATGCTGTTAGCATCCAATGAAATGCCGCAAATAATCGGATACGTTACAACTATACATGTGTGTGCGTGTACGAGTTCATCTATACACACCCACACCGAAATAATTATTTGTTGTTTTTGACAAATAATTATATACGGAAATATACGGCACGAATTATTAGAGAAATTATGAAATAAACTGACAATATTTAATTCGTCATAGTCAAGTCATTGACGTTGATTTCTAAAGTCTGGAGCGAGAACACTAGAAAGCAACAGGCCACAATACACATGACATAGATATGACCGCCGTATATTTGTTCCATGTTTATGCAATGCGCATGCACGTGCTCTGTCTTGATTAACCTGTTAGAGCAGTTTAGTTGCAGCAGTGCTCCGGTTGCTAAGATACTAGACGATAAAGAAATTTTTCTTCATGGCCGGGATATTTTGAGCAAACGGGTTTTCACATCCATCCAGCACGGCTATAGCAGTGTTCACTCTATTGCCACCGACTCCACCTACCAAATATGGGATTAACTCACGTATTACGTATTCTGCTGTCATGTTTAAGTGATTGTGTAAATGTTGTAATATAAAGTTGTCGTTACTGACCTACTATGAGAATCTTTGTAGATGGCGATGTTTAGGAGTGTACATGGACATGTAATTCAACGGTTACAAGAAAATGTCACAAAGACATGCGCGAGTCATTTGCGTTAAAGGTCAGTTTATACCAGGATTTGCTTTTGTTTGTAGTTTAAACGTGTAAAATTACTATATTTTGGAAAGATGTTGGTTTTGAAAGTTATATTAAACTTTGTTCGATACTGTATATTACCGTTGAGTACTGTATATATGTATATCATATACTGTATATGAGTGAATGACCCTACAACCCATGACCCTGCCACTGCCACCGTCAGTTTCCACCAACAGCAACAACTGCCACTCCACAACCACCCAATTACTCACATAAACGTACACTGAGGTGCCATAATGGATAGCAACAGCTTCCAATGAGAGACGCGACTGGGAGTGAAATGTGCAGTCATGTGCAGGAGTGAAATGTGCAGTCATGTGCAGCAGGGATAGTGTTTGGCTTCAAATCTATTCTACTTCAGTAGGTGCAGCCCAATATGCCCGATACCATACGAGCATAGAAAACTAGAAATGGCAGTTGTCGCCAACTACATGTATCCCCCGCGATCTAGTATGAATGAAATATCTCCGTAAGGACGTACAAGGTAGGTAAAGTGAAATAAGTCACAAAGACAAAGGTTTGTTACACAACTCATCTGCCTAAGATGCGCAAGTATGTCAAATTTGGTTACCTTAGCCTTAGGGGTCTTTGTACGCGACACACCTTCTCCCCAAGATGTGTAAGTATACCAAATTTGGTCGCGCTAGGTCAATTAGGGGCCAAGTTATAGAGCGGAAGGGAAATATGATCAAGGTCAAGGTCAAGGTCAAATGCAAGTCGCAGTGAACTGGTTTTGGTATGCGACACACCTTCTCCCCAAGATGTGTAAGTATACCAAGTTTGGTCGCGCTAGGTCAATTAAGGGTCGAGTTATAGAGCGGAAGGGAAAGTGTCTGCGGCGGCGGCTGGACAGACATGAAACCATAGTATACCCGCAGACTTCGTCGCGGGGGATACAATTACACGATGACTTGATGCCACAGCAAATAAGAGAATATATGCTTTGGCTTTAAATAAATTTAAGGTTACGCTTTTCTCATGAGATTAAACTGCAAGCTGACAACGGCGAGATATATCGCGGAGAATGATTTTTCGGATTACGGATATGTTGTGCTATCATATGTTGTATGTATGTGTCCACTATCAGCTGCCATCAATTAGACTCGCCACTAAAGATCTTTGCTTCTAAGATATCACAAGAAACATGGAAAGTTCATACCCTCCGCTTGTGGGTCAAATGTCACAGGACGGCTACTCTTCACATGAACAGCAATCGCAACAGATAAGGGACCGAGTATCGTTCGATTAAGTATCGATCCCACGACGTCTTATCGGATCACGCACTTCAAATAGCTGAGCAGCAATAATGAAGCCATCTCAATTTGGTCCATTATTGCTCACGGATGCGTGTACGTATACAGACCAAGTGAAATACACGCCTGTGCTATTCTACAAGGCGCAGTTCACGGTGTCAGACGAGCCAAAAAGCCATCGAAAGACGTCCACATTCAACGCTCACGGACGAAAATAATTGTATTTGAAAGACATAACTTACACAATACACACATACACGCACACACACAACTGAATAAATACCGAGTGCAATAATCGCACAAACGAATGTATGGAATCTGAAAAGGATATTATATACACAATCGGGGCAATTTACTTCTAGTTTGGTCACAGATGTCTAGACAATAGTAGTACAGGAGTGATCAGATCCAGTTCTATCAGATGTATAAGCACAACAATATTTACATACTACGCATATATATATATATATATATATCGAGAGTACTAAAGAGACATCTCATCCGTACTGGAGAATCACACCTATTTAAAACAACACATCGACGCGTCGAATTCGAGTGTGCAACGTTGAAATCGAATAACAAATATTTAAGTGTGCAATGCGTAGGGCCGTACACGACGATAGGGGGTCGGGAGGGGGACGAAGGGCGGTGGGAGTGAGACGGGGGGGGGGGGGGGGGGGGGGGGGGGGGGGGGGGGGGGGGGGGGGGGGGGGGAGTGGGGGGGGGGGGGGGGAGATATGAGGCGGGATAGGGCAGTTGCGTTCACGTGAGTATTCATCGCCCTTTATATATGTTACAATAACTCTGAGATCAACGTAAAACCACCACGCCGCTAGAATATCGACCTACGGAAACCGAGCCTTGGCGGCTAGTGATACAAGCACGCGCTACGACAAACGCACGCGCACACGCACACACACACGCACACGCATACACACACACACAGACGAAACATGTCGAAGGACTCACCGCACGTAGTACACACCACACATAGGCAGCAGCAGAACACGCTCACCCACCTATCTATACGTGCGATAGAACCATCGCCAATATCTTTGGGATAAAGCTTACCGTAAATGCATTACTAAAACGGGAGCGCCTGATCGGCGCCATTCAAACCGCATTTAATCATTCGATCTTCGCAACACGGGTTAATTAACTTAACATGAAGACACTACTAACTTCATTACACGTCCACGCGCTTGCACATCATGTGTATAATTAACATAAAGAAAACCTCTCAGTACGATACTGGACGTTGACGCTACCGGCCCACGCGCGAATAACGTAAACTCGGCAGTGAAATCACATTAAAACCACGTCCAACTATTTACTGCTCGTCATAATGACCATCCAAAACTGCTGACGCCGATAAAGTAAAGGTAAATCACGTTTTAAATAAAATTCATTGGACAACGTCGCTAAACGCAACACCGCGATAGAACAGAATCAAAACTGGAATAAGCGTAAAATGCGTATTCGAACCATACACGGCAGGAGCTCCCGCGGCCCGTAGCCATTCCACTAACACACATCTTAAGCCAAAATGCGTATACGCATGATTACAATTTACTCATCTAAATCTCATGATCTCAAATAAGGCAAGTTTTTGATTATCTTCCCATGATCTACGAATGCGCGGGTAGTACACACCTACTAGATTTTATATAATTACAATGCCGTTCTATATCGGCAGAACAGTGACTGAGTAAAACCTGACTGGCAATTACGGGCACATATATCACCCGGTACCTACTCAAGCAAACTGGAACGATACTATTTTCTTTGGGTATTTTTGCTAAAACTTGTTTAGCAGATAATTAATTACATTTGATACTTAATTACAATAGGTAACCTGGCCACTTAATTATATGGATTTGTCCAAACTCGGACAGTATTATACACGCGCGTCACACCAAGTGTCATACACTTCGGCAAGTGACAAATCTACATAACAATGCACTTCAGTGATCTGCGTAGGTATTCCTAATGACAGGACGAGTTGCCATGACAACATTACATCGCCTGCTTCACATCAACTGATGACCAATACATGATTTAATAAAGATGATAAAGCTAGAATATGGCGACTGTCTGGCAAAGGGGCGAGGGAGTGTCGCACGAAGAAGAGGGGACTTGGTCATGGAGGCCAGTTGCATCTATTTCGTTTGAAGCGAACCTCAAAGCCATTGTGAAGTGGCTAGGAAACACGCACACATACACACACACACACACGCACGCACGCACGCACCCACGCACGCACAAACATTTACATATAGACCAAGAGAATCACCATTAGCACTATGTACCTATGCAACTAACATCACGTCCCAGGGTCACGTGCAATTGTATGCAGAAGATCTGACTTATTCACAACACTTTCATACTTCACACACACACACACACACACACACACACACACGCACGCACGCACGAACGCACGCACACACACACGAAATTGGAACGTCTATCGCATGATAAATCACTAAGTAATACTAGACTGCCAGACATCTCATCGCTGCACGCACAGGGACTGCCTGCTCTGACTATACACGACGTTCCGCGTGCTCCAACATCAGAACATTAGCCGTTATTAATGCTCTGACAAGAGTAGCTATGTAGAACGACCACGTGGGTCAAGCCCATACCTAGATCAACACTTTCGTTGAGCTGATGGGCAATACGCAGACACAGCCTCCGACCGCACCAGCGTGTCAGCAGGCATATGGCGATACCAGGAAAGTACGTTCAGTTCCTATATGGAATAGAAGCCTGAAGACAACGTGGCAAACTACATAAGCGAGACAGAGAGAGAAAGAGTAATGCGTACAAGCGCATCTCCATACAAGTACGCACTGCAGGGCAGCATCACAAGCGCACGCTGCAGTCGCAAGCTGCCACGACAGATCGCCGCCCGATCTGGCATCATTACGGGATTGAAATACTGCGCGCCGGCACGCGCTGGGACATTTACAGCCAACACGTTTACAGCTTCTTCTCCTCGAAGGGACACGGCCAACGCCGAACCGGGTCGGAATCGAGAGCAAGCCAGAATCGAAACCGGAAGTCGGAGCCTGAAACTGGAACCATTACCATAAGTCATTACTGGAACTGGAGTTGGAACCGAAGCCGGGAACGGAGGCCAGTACTGGAACTGGAGACGAAACAGATACTGGAACCAAAGTCAATCCCGGAACCAGAACCGGAACCAGAACGAGCCGGAATCGGAATCAGAACGGAATCCGGGAACCGGAAACGGGGAGCCGGATCGCGGGGCTACTTGCGGCGCGGCGCGGGCGTGTTCGCCTGCTCGCCAAGGTCAGTCACCGCCTGCCGGTACTGCGCGAGGATGTTCTGAACGCGCTCCATGACCGCGGGGTCGCTGTCGGGCACCGGCTTCGGGCTCGGGCCGCTGCGGCGCACCTGCGGGCTGCGCGCGTTCTGCGTCTGCGGGGCGGAGTGCGGCCGCACGGGCGGCGAGTGCACCAGGTAGGACTGCGGCGGCGCCGACAGCGGCGCGGTCGGGTGCGCGGGCGAGAGCGCGGGCGACGTCTGCTGGGGGTCGGGGGGAGGTGGCTGATGCTGCTGCTGCTGCTGCGCGAGGGGAGGTGGCTGCTGCTGCTGCTGCGCGAGGGGGTGCTGCTGCGCCGCCGCCGTCGTCAGCACCTGCGTGATGTTGAGCGCCTGCGCGGTGAGCGTCGGCAGCAGCTGCGAGATCACGGGCAGGCTCGTATCCGTCTGGCCGCCGCCGCCGCCCGCGTCGTGCTGCGCCGCCGCCGCTGCGCTGCTCATCTGCGGCTGGTGGTGCACGGTGACGACCGGCGTGAGCATGCCGCCCCCCTGCTGCTGCTCGGCCGCGCTCGACGCAGGCTGCAGGATGACGGCCGCCATCGGCTGCGTCGACTGCACCTGCCCGAACTGCACGGCGAGGCTCGGCTGGTGCGCGCGCGCGACGCCGCCCCTGCCGCCGTCGACGACCAGCTGCTTCACCTGCACGGGCACGACCGCAGCAACCGACTGCTGCGGCGGCGCCGTCATCGCGCCGGCGACGTCCGCCACCGTGATGACGACGTGCGGCTCGCGCAACCCCCCCGCCGTCGCGTCCGCGGCAGCCACGACGGAGACGCGCGGCGAGAACAGCGACGAGAAGCTGGGCAGCTTCGTCGCGAGCTTCGCCGGCTCCGCGGCGGCGACGCAGGCCGTCGGCATCGTCACGGCGACGACGGCGGTCTGCTCAGGCTGCGCGACGACGACGGCGGAGGCGGCGGCGTCGTCACCGGACGCCTGCGCGCACGCCATGCCCGGCAGCAGCTGGCTCATCGAGTTGCTCGAGTACGGCGGAATGATCATCGACAGCGGCGGGATCGAGCTGACGTAGCCCGGCGGCGTCGGAAACGGCCACTGGCCGTGCATCATCGGGAACGGCACGCTCAACCGCATCGGCATCTCGCCGGACCAGTCCGGCTGCGGCGGCGGGGGCGGCGCGGCCGACGACGCCGGCAGCGGCTCGGTGGTCGGAATCGCCGAGACGGGCGGCGTCTCGCTGCGAGACAGCTCGAGACCGCCTAAACGCTCGTCGTTGCCGCCGGCGACGCCGTTCGTCGTGGCGCCGTACGCCGCTGCCGCGGAGCGGTCCCCGCTCGGCTGCGACATGACCTGCGAGGTCACGAGACCCGCCACCGCCGCTGGGTCGTCGCTGCCCGTCGAGTCGCCTAGGCCGGATAAGCCGGGCCCGGCCTTCGTGCCGTTCGACGGCATGTGGTGCAGAGGCCGGGTCGTCGGCTCCGGGAGGCTGACGCTCTGCAGCGGCTTCACGTCTCCCTCCGCGTCGCCGCTGCCGCCACCCGCCGCTCCCTTGTCGCCATCGCTATCGGTCGCGCTGCCGAGCAGGCGGGAGGGCATCGCCGTGCGCGTGTACGGGTAGGTGGCGACCTCTGGCAGCGGATAGGGCCGCGGCGGCGGCATCTCCTTCCAGGGCGCCTCGAGCTTCGGCGGCGCAGAGAGGTAGGGCAGCTGGCGGCTGTGGATGTCGATGAAGCAGGGCGCGCTGCGCAGGAAGTTGTTGATCTTCGCGATCTCCGTCTCGCTCGGGTCGACGCCGCCGACGCCGTTGCCGCCGCCCGTCTCCTCCTCCTCGCCCAGCTGGTCGCCGTCCAGCAGCTCAGCCTCGAGGTGGTCCGAGATATCGTCGTCGCCCGAGTTGTTCATGCACTCGGGGATCTGCGGCGAGAGGCCGGCCCCGCCGCCGCCGCCGAAGTTGTGAGCATTGAGTTTCGTCTCCGGCTGAAAGGACCACACGTGTTCCAGCAGCGGGTCGCCCGAAGAGACGGCCGACTCGTCGAGGTCGAGGCCCGGCCGCGGCGCGGCATCCAGCGCCACCTGGTGCTGAGCTTTGGCAAAGTCGGCGGCGCGCTCCTGCGACAGCCTCGACATTTTCGCGGCGGGCGGTGACGACGACGACGACGCCGCCTGCTTCTTCGGCCGGCCGCGCTTCTTCGGCTGCTGCGCGGCGTAGGTGGCGCCGCCGTAGTCAGACGGCGGCGCAAACTCGCTCGCGCGCTCGCCACGCCTGCCCTCGATCCACTCTTCCTGCGTCAGCTCTCTGTGCGACGCGACTGTAACAAACGAAGCAGAGCAACAACTCACATCTGGATACAGGGGTGCGTCACGTACCTGCACGGTTTTATTCATCATCATCAACAAGCACACAGCATACAGCAAAACATGAACGACATCATCGTCGGCTAACGCTACGGGTAGGACGGGGCGAACTGAGTCGGCCGTTCTCCTCGCCGCTTCTCTATCCACTCGTCCTGTGTCAACTCTCGATGGTAAACTGCAAATCAAACGCAAGCGATCTGTCACGCCGGCTGGTCCCGTTAACATTTGCAGTCAGCGTCGCTAGGGAGAGGCACTAGCAACACGTAGTGAAGGTGGACGTTGCAGTTACAGTTACATTGCATCTAATTAACTACGGCTGCAAAAATCATTAAATTGTTAGATATAGCTCTGATGCATATTACATACGACTACACCCTTAATACACCTATATTTACATGAATGCATGCATATACAGTCACAGCATCACTACATCTATGATTAAACATATAACTTAGCTGGGTTTACACTACCGACTTTATGTTGTCAAATTGGCGAGTTGGACCAATTTCGCAAATTCGGCAACACCACGTTGGCGAAAATGGAAGATGTTCTAATCTCCCAATTAGTTGCTATTGACCAGTTGTTCGCGCGACTTTTGCGTTTACACTGCCGATTGTCAGTTGTATAGTTGCGAAGATGGTCCAATTCGCCAATTTGACAACATAAAGTCGGTAGTGTAAACTAGGGCTGTAACGATCCACCGCAATCGAATCGAATCGCGATTCTCTTCCCTCGATCCGATCCTCAATATTTTTCCCCGTATTTACGATTCCATTTCGATACCACTTTTTTCCTCCAATAGATGGTGGCACTACGCCATATACTGTGGAGTGTTACTCGCCAATTTTACTCAGCGACTGTGCAGTGTACATATACCATAGAGATGCATAAATAGTATACATCACTATGATATATACTCTCTAGACTCTCTAGTCTATTTACCATTTAGTATTCATTGGCAATTTCTAATAATTTATTATTGCAAAATACTGAAAATATAAAAAATAAGATAACATTTCAATATTTTGGGAATCGAATCGAATGAATCGAATCGAGAGGCTAATATCGAGAACCGGATCGAATCGAGAGGCTTGCGTATCGTTATAGCCCTAGTGTAAACCCAGCTTAATCAAGAGCATGTAAACTAAACAGCAAACAAGAATGAAAACTGAAAACCAAGGAGACTGAATTAAGCAAGCATAGCCCATTATTAATTGTGCTGCACATTGTTCAAACTTCGTTTGTAACTTTAGCCAATTCAACTGAAAATAAGAGAAAGTTTTCCATTCTTATTGTTGTTTGCACTACTTGATATGCTTGTTATATATTGCATCTATATTTAAACCAAAACTTGGGAAGCAACTTTGTGCATGTGTCTATTCAGTGTTTCCCCTGCATTGACACGAGCGAGGCGGGCCGCCTAGCTCAAATTCTCAGCCGCCACACAGAAATTTGTCCAAAACACCGCCTCGCTGACGAAAATCACTGTTAACAGTGCTTATAATGCACCAAATTGCACCATTTAAATGATTTTTTCAAAAAATTTCCCTTGGACCCCCAAGCTGGGGGAACACCTGCAGTGCTCGCTTTGCTAGGACCTCGAAACGCGCAAACACACCAAAACCAAATTTACCACCTCACAGACCTTTTTGGCTAGGGGAAACACTGCTATTATATACATTACAGCATGCACACACATATATATATATATATATATATATATATATATATATGTCATCAACTAATAATAATAATAGGCTGTTAGACTGCTGCTTTCCCAGTTCACCTTCAACATTAATAGAGACACGATAGTGACAGAAAGGTACGCCTTTAGGAGATTACTCTATACTGTCAGGGTGCGAAATTAACGTACGGAGTCAAATACTCCCTGATTTACTGTCGGACTCCCTGATTTGACATATGCAGGAGTCCGTGTGACTCCCTGAAAATTCTGCCATACTATTAATAACTAGTTCGTTCCAGAGCACGGCCTCGTGGAATCACCGTATTTTTTCAGCTAATGTCCAAAGAAAATTTGGCAGACGTGCAACCGCATGAATCTTAAAAATAAGCACATGCTTTATTGTTAAATAATGTCTTTAATTTTGAACCTCAGACTGCGGACTACCTCATTTTGCTGCGGACTCCCTCTTTTTGAGGGTAGGGAGTCCGTTGGACTCCCGTGTTCAAAAGTTAATTTCTACCGCTGGCTGTTATCATTTACCTAGCTTATATCCTGGGTAACAGCTAGTTAAAGGACAAGTGAGTTAAAACAGACAAAAACTAGGGAAAGCATCTGACTAACTGCATACTGTTACTTCATAAGATATGTCATGTCATATCATTAGACAGATTATAAGATACATATATACAATTACATACACACATACACACCCAACTAAATAAGAGCACAATATATTATGTTTCACAACTTTAAAAAGTTTATGCACCAGAAAAACACTGCTCTCACCTTATCCTGCAAGATTTTGATTTCATTCTAGGATTGCAAGCACATGCCAAAGTGATTACTGTAGAATTATGTCACCAGGACAGTTTCAGACACCAACATGTATAAACAAGACTGCTAGCCTTTCTAATAAGCTGGGCGTGATACAAATATACCCTGCATTATTGCACTACGACTGTCTTAGCTACTTGTTAGTGTACATATACGTGTAAAATGGATATAAGACAAAACTATCACACTAATGGAGAAAAAAATTAAAGAGAATTTTCCCTCTTTATGTCATAAATATTGTAAAATATTTTGATAAAATAACAAGTATGTAGTAACCAACTACACAAATTTAATTAAACCTTATCCCTTCTAAAAATTTCTATACCACCAAAAAATTATGTTGACTGTGCACCAAATAATTGAACCCTGTATTCTCTATGCATTGTGCTAGTGTACGATCATTTGCTTACCCTTTCCTCTGTCCCATTCCCGTATCGGTGGTGGTGGCTTCTGTTCCAGTTCTATGCTCACTGTTTCCTCGGCATCTTCTTTCTCTTCTTCCTCTTTGAATTCCTCTGGTTCTGAAAGCAACATGTCTTCACGTTAATTTGATCACGGAAGATACCTATGTAATGCAATATATTCACAATAAAACGTAACATACAAAAACGAATAATTTAAAACGTTAGTAAAACATAAATAAGCCAGTAACCAAAATCTGACATTGAAAAACATTGAGTGGAAAGAGATGCAACAGATATGTACACACAACTGCACCCATGGTAACAGATACTCACACTGACAGGTGAGATGATTCGGAGTTACTAACGTTCTAACATAGCCAGCTAAACAGGTAGCTGGTACCATAGGCAAATAAACACATCTTCTACAGCTTCTAGAAAGGCATTACTGTTCATTTCGTCTTACTAAAGCTACCAGAAAATATCAACAAGTCAATAATTCTTCATTACCCAATAAAATTTACTACAAATAGGTAATCGTACAGTCATCATGTTTACCTTCAATTCCTTTCAATTTTTTGCGCTGCTTTACTTTTTCCAGTCTCGCATGCAATGCTGATTTTCGCTTTTCTTTTAGTTTCTCCCGTTTGTCACGTTGTTCTACCGTCTGTTAGCATATATGAGATAATACACCAATGTAACAACACAGCGCACTAAAGTTGTAGATTGTGCAAGGCAATGAATAATGTATGCAAGGTGGCGTAATACTAACTTATGTAAGGAAGGAATGGTGAGATATAGAGAACCAGAGTAATACAGCAATAGTTTGGAAAAGAGAAATAGGGTAAAAGTAATAACATAAATTAAAGATAAAATAATTAAGATAAAAAGAAAGGCAGAGAAGGGGGGAAAGATAGAGAGATGGGAAAGAGGGAAAAATACTTTTGTTCATTGTCAAATCAATTGCTACAATATAGTGTGAGTCTATTTTACCTCTTCGCGAAGCTGCTTAAGTTGTTCCATCTGCTGCTGCCTAGTGCCTTCGTCTTCAGAAAAGGCATAGTATCCGACTCCTAAGTCACGAATTTCTGTGGGAAAAAGGAGATAAAAACACTTTACAACCAATTAAAATATGGCAATCATATCTTCTAATAAAGTGCATCCGGCATCTGGTAAAAGCCAAGTTCTTTCAAAGAATCGTCCATGTTCCTGTGAAATTATAATGTGAGACTGTCTATCAAGATTGTAGTATACTTATGTAAAAACAGTTTTAACACATGCTCCAGTTCAAGTCTATAACTGTACTGAGCTTGGGGTTAGGGTTAGGGGTTTCTGCTGTTCTATCCTCCTCCCTCTCTTGTGACCAGCATTTCTGTACATCAAAGACGTTTACCAGGGGCAAAGACGAAATCAGGCATATACCATGCCGTTAAATTTTGATGCCAATGTGATCGCTACCCAGATAAAACAAAAATATGGGTCAGCCCGTATTTTCAACCCAATTTCAAAGTGAGGACATATGTACACTGGATTGCAAAACACTTACTAATAACTCATGATTATATTTAAAATCTCCATACAGATACACAGTAGGATAGATAGTAAGTCAATATAAAACTGCTAAGACAAAGTTCAATAAACATAGAAACACCCTAAACACAAAAGCTAAATGGCTCACATAAGGTTTTCATTTGCATTTAGGCTTCCTAGTGATTTATTATATAAATGTAGCACAGTGAGGAAAAGAGAGCGGAGTATTGCCACAGTCATACAGTGACGCACAGCCATCTAAATAAACATGCCTATGTCGCAATCACACGCACATTTTTTTTCCTTAAACAAGGTTTTTGACAACCCATACTATGACTACATGCACCAACAACACGTGCATTTGATCAAATAATGAAAATGTCAATGACACTGTAGCTCACCTTGGGTGTGATAGAAGAGGGAGGGGGGATATATAAAGCAAGCGTATATATGGGAGAACTCCCATTATATAGCATATCTCCCATTATATATATATACTCTTGATAATGATATATGCATAAGTTTTGATGCGAAAATAAATGTTTTAGATCTGAAAATCTGAAATCTTGACGAGAGATGGCACTACGCCTAAATGATCGCCATTTTGGTTTTCGAATATCGCGCAAATAAAAACAATAAAATATTCCAGGCAAATTACTGTAACGAAGAATCTAAAATACAATATTACACGTATATAGGTATCAGGGTTCGAAATCCTAATGGACCCGCGGGCCCGATGCCCGTATTTTAAGGCTCGGGCCTGCATTTCTAATACTAGCAGGCCTGACGGGCCCGTAAAAAATCAACCCCAGCATGCAACTATAGCAGCATGCACTAGTGATCTCAGCGCCGGATTCAAGAAGAAATGCGTAGCCGTACGCACAAGTGTGCGCAGAAAATTTAGAACACCTCACGCACAACTTTAGTTGGCATTCAAGGAACGTGCGTGGGATGTTCGGACACACAGGTTAGCACAGGTTCCTGAATCCAGACTAGCAGCGTTGGCATACCCAAAAAAAATCGATAAGAAGTTGGTGGAGGTTACTTTTGGCCAGTGGCAGCGAACCTTACATTGCGTTGACCAGGGTTTATTTACGTGCATGGGTCGTGCGGCATGCTCACTGTTCACGTGCGCTAGGTTGTGGAGTAATTTGCACATCCCCGCGCATTTCACGTTTGGATGTAAACAATAAAGTATCACTGGTAGTTAACAAACGATCAGTATACTGTTTTAAAATATTATTAAGAAGATTTAGGTAATATAGCATGTTGAATTATACAGTAAATAATAATAATTGTCTCAAGTTAACACATATAAGTCACTGTAGCTACAAAACACTTACTAGTCATACAACAGCAGTACAGCCTCGTCGTACCACTCAAGTTTAACCGTGTCTAATATTGTTTTTAACGTTTGGAAAAACTATATACATTTTATACAGGGTGGAGCTAAATAAAAGCTTCCGTAAAACACCTCTCCGTGATGTGCTTTATCATTTGCATAGCTTCCTGTCTCCCAATATTCTGTACACCATCTAGCACATCAGGCAGAATGCTGGCATTAAAAGAAGAATGTCATCTAAATATCGGCTAACGCTCCATTAGGAGTGTTACCAACTTTGATATCATTAACGATTAATGATTAATGATTGATAATCCTAACCCTAACCCTAACCTAAATGACATTAAACCACAAACTAATATATGACCATGACCATATATATATACCATGCCATACCATATATGTTATTATGACCATTAATGACATTAAAGTTGGGAACACTCCTAATGGAGTATCACCCTAAATATCGGATTGGTAATCAATGTTGGCTTTTCAAAATCCCAAAGCAGCACGTACAACAACACACCTAGTCCAAGTATGAACTATATTATATCGTTGCTCTGCTGCAGTTCGTGTAAGATATCGTAAAGCAAGCATTTATGAACTAGCCACCGTCTCCTAATAGCCACCCGTCTCCTATGTCCTATAGCACCATTCTCAAGATTGTGGTGAGAGCAGTTATTTAAAATATACACGGCAACTGTAAAAGAGGCGGAAGAATAGGAATATTTCCGCAGAGGAAATTGACTTCATAATTTATGAAGTGGGACAGAGATAGAGGACTGTTTGGAAGTTTTGCTGGCAACTGGCAGCTGTAGTTAATAAAAAGACATGGCAAGCTGTGACTATAGCAGTCAATGCCATACGGTATCCAGCAAGCCACAAACTCAAGATGAGGTGAGTGTATGGGTGTGTGTGCGTGTGAGGTGATGTGAGTGGTGTAGGTGAGGTGAGGTGAGGTGGGGTGTGTGTGTTCAACTTTCATGTCTGCCAGGAAAAACTCAACCCTATCTTTGCCTGATTTGGCTAGTTCCTTAGATGTTTACATTACTCAACCTTTTTATTTGCTCTTGCCATGAAATCAACTAACTGACCCTACGGAGCGTTGTTTTTCTCTGCCCTATTATATGTCCCAAACATTAGCTTTATCATTCAAGATGTGTGATCCACACAGTAAATGATCAGTGTGGGTATGTGTAAACGCATGCGCGTGTGTGATGATGATGGCGACGTACCTAAATGCCTGTTTGTACGTATGAACGTAAACCATTGTAAAAATTTCAAATTTCAGTCTTTTATTTCTTAAACAAGTGCCGCGGAGCGACAGCGCTCATCTAACGTCTACTGAGGTGACTCTGTGGTGGAGTGGTGGGATTCTAGTAAACCCTGTTAGTCCCAAATGTGTTCACATACACGCCGAAACAGTGGAAGGCACAGGGATGGTATCAGGAACCTTCTCAAAGGAATGTTCGTTCGGATCGTTATGAAAGTTGCCACGAGATGGCGCGTACGTTTAAGTGTCTTCAGATTAAAGATGGAAGCTCCCATCGTACGTAGTAGCAACAATATGGCATTCTGTACTGTCAGTATGTTACATGTAACGTATGCCACTGCCAGTGGCTACTGCCAGTGCATGTGTTGCTGGTACTGTGTAGTTTTTGCCTGCGTTAATTGGTTACAGGTGGCAGCTCTTTATTGCAGCCTGTAGGCTTGCATAGGTAAATGGATGAGTGCTTACCTATTCTGTCTTGCAAATAGGAAATTATACGATTTAAGGAGCATAAACCTTCTTTAACCAAATTTAGCTTTTGAAATTTCATTATGACATTGTAGCCTCATACATCCAGGCATGTATAGATTCTACTAGCAAACCCGGCAGTCAAATTCTTTCTAACAGACAGTCAACAAATCCATGTTTAACCCTCATCTTAAGGGTCAAAAGGTTATCTGACACTTACTCTTCGCATGTCAGCAGAAAGTAGATTTCATGGTCCTTTCAATAATGCCATAAAAATACTAGGTCACGGCTGAAACAAAAAAGTTGACGGACGGACGGACGGACGGACGGACAGACGGAAGCTCGCACGGACGGACGGACGGACGGACGGACAGACGGAAGCTCGCACGGACGG